CATGGGGTTTTCCATTTCGATTTCCATAAGGATGAAATACATAAATAAAGTCAAACCGAAGGTTTTCAAAAAAAAAAAAAAAAAATTGTTAATATGAAACGAATAGTTAATTTTACAACAAATGCCATACCAATAGTTCAATCATCGCAAAATCAAGATATACCAAAATTAAAAGGAAATACATATAAGAAATTTCGTCGATGTGAACGAGTTGAAAATCATGATATTTGCGAATTTTATTATAGATTATATAAGCCAAGTGGAAGTAAAATAGTTGATGATTTTATTAGAAATAAACAAACTAAAAGGATTATTAATATTAATAGGAATGTGATGGAGTTTGTTCCCTATGCTCAATTCGAGAATATAAAATTTTGTGTCGAAGACGAATTTAGTAAAATTTATAAAGCTACTTGGATCAATGGTTATATTTTGCGCTGGAATAGGCTTAACTCAAATTTTAAATGGGTTGGTGTTACGCAAGTTGTTCTTAAAAGACTTAATAATTCCGAAAATATCATTACTGAAGAGTTAAATAAGGTATTTATATAAACTTTTCTGTAATATATGTAATTAACTTAACTTTTATTAATACATTTTACGAATTTAGCAAATTAATAATAGTCAAAGGTATTACGGAATAACTAAAGAACCTATTACGAAAGATTTTATGATAATTTCAAATAATTTCAATTGGACAGAATATAAGCAATACATAATAGATCACTTATTATGCAAAAGCAAAAATAAAGTTGTAGATGATTTTATTAGAGATAGGCAAATTAATAGCAATGATATTATGATTGAGTATATTCCCTATAATAAACTTAATTTTATGGAATTTTTTGTTGAAGATGAATTTAATAAAGTTTATAAAGCTATTTTGATCGATGGTTATATTCTACACCATTTGTTCTTAAAAGACTTAATAATTCCGAAAATATCATTACTGAAGTATTAAATAAGGTAGGTCTTAACTTGTTTGTAATATATATAGTAAACTTAACTTTTATTAATACATTTGGAAAATTTAGCAAATTGATAATAGTCAAGAATGTGGAATAACTCAAGACCCTATTACGAAAGATTTTATGATAATTTCAAATAAATTCAATTGGACAGAATATAAGCAATATATAATAGATCATTTATCACCTTTATGCAAAAGCAAAAATAAAGTTGTAGATGATTTTATTAGATATAAACAAATTAATTACAATGGTGATAGGATGATAGAATTTGTTCCTTATGATCAATTAATTGATATAAAGTTTTGTGTTGAAGACAAATTTAGTAAAATTTATAAAGCTACTTGGATTGATGGTTTTATTATTAATTGGAATATGAATAAGGTAAACTTTGATCGAAATGGATCTACACAAGTTATTCTTAAAAACTTAATAATTCTGAAAATATTATTACTAAAGAGTTAAATAAGGTATGTATTAACTTATCTACAATATAATATATATATATTTAACTTAATTTTATTAATACATTACATTTTGAAAAATTTAGCAAATTAATTATAGTCAAGATTGTTATGGAATAACTCAAGAACCTATTACAAAGGATTTTATAATAATTTCAAATATATTTAATTGGACAGATATAAGCAATACATAATCGATCACTTATCAACTTTATACAAAAGCAAAAATAAAGTCGTAGATGATTTTATTAGAAATAAACAAATGAATACCAAAGGTATTATTATTGAATTTATTTCATATGATCACCTTATTGATATAAAATTTTGTATTCAAGATGAATTTAATACAATTTATAAAGCTACTTGGATTGATGGTTATATTTTATATTGGAATATGAATAATATAAACTTTGATCGAAATGGATCTACACAAGTTATTCTTAAAAGAATTAATAATTCTGAAAACATCATTACTAAAGAGTTAAATAAGATATGTATTAATTTGTCTGTTTTGTTATATATATAATTAACTTAACTTTTGTTAATACATTTGAAAATTTAGCAAATTAATAATAGTTAAGAATGTTATAGAATAACTCAAAACCCTATTATGAAAGATTTTATGATAATTTTAAATAAAAATAGATATTTACAATATATATATTATTTATTACCATGCAAATGTGAAAACAAAGTTATAAATGAATTTATCAGATATATACAAATTAATTTTAACATAACTGATTTATTTGAGTTTATGGAGTTTATTCCTTATAATCAATTTAAAGATATTAAATTTATTGCAGAAGGTGAATTTAGTAGAATTTATAAAGCTACATAGATTGATGATAATATTTTGAGTTTAGATAAAGATTATGCTAAATTTAAACGAAATAACTCTAAACAAATTATTCTTAAAGAACTTGAAAATTTAAAGAACTTTACTCCTGAAAATCTAAATGAGGTATAAAATTAATCTATTTTTTATTTATAGTAATATAATAATAAAATTTATTAATTATTTTTAAAAATCTAGCTTAAGATTATTTATAAGTATAATATGACATTGAAAAAGAATAAAATTTCTTATGGACCTTATGTAAATAAGTGTTATAGAATCACCTATAATTCAAATACAAATAATTTTATGATAGTTATAGAATATTACGAATTAGGTGATTTAAAGCATTATATTTTAAATAACTTTTATACTCTTAACTGGAATGATAAATTATCTATGTTAATATCTACTATAAATGGACTTAATGATATTCATAGTTCAGAAATTATTCATTGGAATTTTCATAGTAAAACTCTTCTTATAAAAACTATATCAGTAACAATATGTGATCTAGACTTAAGCAAATCTGCAACTGATTTAACAGAATATGGTAACGAAATTTATGGAATTATTCCTTATATTGTACCAGAAATTTTTAATGAAAATAGCTATACTAAGGCTTCAGAAGTATATATTTTTGGTATAATTATATGGGAGATTATGACAGGTAGAAGACCTTTTTGGAATAGAGTTCATGATACAAAACTTATTGTTGAAATTTGTGATAGTTTGCGTTCTCTAATTACATCTACTCCTAAAGGTTATATTAAATTAATGAAAGAATGCTGAGATTCTGATTCAAATAAAAGACTGATAGCTAATGATATAAAAAGAACATTACATAATATATGGAATGTTGAATATCATAATCTAACAGAAATTATTAAATCACCAGATATTGGACTAATAGCTAATAATCCAGGAGCAGTTTATTCAAGTAAGCATTTAAATCATATAATAAAATCTGCAATATCAATTAGGAGTTTGAGAAGTCAACCTACTACTTTAATATTAGGTAATATTTCAATAAAAATCAAAATTCTCATTTAATTTTTCATATAAATTGATGAGTAATATAATTAATTATTTTTAAAGATAAAAGAAGTTTCAAATAAGATTTAGAAGATATGATTGTGGATTATAGAAGTTTAAAAAAGTTTAAATTATCTGAAGATAAAATAAATGGTAAAATTTTAAATTAAATTTTTAATTTATTATTTAATTTAATTAATATTTTTTCATTTTAGGTTATAAAACAAAAGCACTTGATTATGATATACAATTATATTAATTACTGATAAAAATATTTTATAAAGACATATTTATCAAATATTATATCGTTAAAGAAAAATAATAAAATAAATGTTACAAATTTATATTTATATTATTTATACTAATGATTACTAATTAATTGCTATGATGTGATTTTTTACTAATATTTTTTCAGATGATATGAGTTGAGTTTGAGTCACTAATAGAATTTAGCAATAACTATTCAAAGATTAAAAAATTAGTTGGCTTAGAAATTCAATAAAAATCCTTCCAACTGAATTCGTTATTGAGATTAAGGGAAAGGATGATAGTTACTTTATGAATCACACAAAAAAATGAATTTTCACAATAAACATTAAATAAACTCCTCATTATTGTTAAAAAAAAATTGCTTACAAACATATATTTTGCAATATATGATAAATAACTAGAAAATTCATTAACAATATCTAACAAACAAAGGAGGCATATAATACAAAACTAAATAGAAAGTTATTAAAAAGTAAAAAATGTGACTTATTTCTTACTTTGAAAATGAAATAAGATTGATCCTAAAGAAAAGATAGAGCTTAATTTCTGAAAAATTAAGAAATCATTTAATCGCTGTGATTGAATCTGTTAAAATAAAATAAAAATTCCTGATGATAATGAGGTAGATAGAAAACTGGTATAGTACGATTATACAGATTAGTATTTTTTCGCAAAATTTGGATTATACCGTACTGTACTGTACTAGTCCTATAATAATTATATAACCAATCCAGTATGATAATTATATAGACTGATTTTATAAAATTCGTACTGTACCAGTTTCCATATACTCTTCGGCATGCAAATATATTCAAATCTTTAACTAAATATTAAAAATTTATAGGTTTTCAATTGGTTAAATAAATTATTTATTACACTTATTGATTTTAAAAATATGAAATATTAATAACTATAGTATCCCTATAAAAAATACACTCTGGAATATTTCTATTTTATACCTATAATTGTATGTACTTATGAATCCGTAAATGTTCAGTGTACCTCAACTGGTTGAGTAAGTAGTCTGTAATTTTTCCACAATATCATTTATAAAAAAATGGAATTTAAACGGACCTATTAAATCACTGAAAATTTTATAAATAAAAATGGAATAATCAATCCGTTTTTCATAATGTTATTTATAGAAAAAAAAACAGAATAATCAGCCTATTTTTCAATTCACAAATAAAATGGAATAATCAGTCTAGAAAACCGGAATTTAAACGGACATATTAAATTACTGACAATTTCATAAATAAAAACAAAATAATTAATCCATTTTTTTATAATGTCATTTATAGGAAAACAGAATTCAAACGGACCTATCAAATTACTGGTAATTTCGCAATTAAAAATGGAATATTATTTTAACATGAATTATAACAAATCATGATAAAATATACACAAATGTAATAATGAAAATTATTAGAATCTAATCTGGTTTTCTCGATCGATGATATAATTCTCATTGTTTGGCATTTTGAGAAATCCAACACTTCTACAAATTGCACTAACATTAATTACTTCAAATGCATCAAGATTCTGAAACTTCAATGGATCATATCCAGAAGGCTGGGGATTTCGTACCCATTGTACATAGGCTAGCATAGACCAGTTATCATTGTATTGGTGTGAAAAAAAATATTGAACCTCTCCAAAAAATTCACGTTCATCCATGATAATTAGAGCATTTTTATGATGAGCATTTCGATCAACCATGAGTTTGGCCTAAAAAGCTAGTATTAAATAGTAAATTCTTGGGAAAATCATGGTATTAAAGATGTATATACGGTAATGCAGAAATTCATATGAGCAACATCACTGTTGCGATTTGATAGTTTTGAATTAACTATCAGCCTATTTTTTGTATAGAGTTTTCCATACTTATGTATGAAACCTGTAAATAACTTTAAAAAGTGTTAGAAAATTAGAAATATCCGAATTAAGACAAAATAGAAAACTTACTATAAGCTGATTTGCCCTTTTATTTAATGCTATCATATAATAAGTTCTGAGACGTTGTGTTTCAGTTCTATTCATATAATATTTGCGTGATGGTGAGTACAACTCTTCTTCAACACCCTCAATTGCAAAAACGCGGCTTTCAGAATAATTCGATATTTTCTCCGGTTCTTTTTCAAAAATTCTATGATTTACTTCAGTCTTGTATTGAAGATACGAAAAATGAGTCCACATAGTAATTTAATTCTGAAGATTTGTATAAGAATGCTGTTTAGAGCGCACTAGAGGTAATAGCATTTCACATAACATTTCCATCGGATATTGCCAAGTTGCCCATACAGGTCCAGTATTATGAATAGAAGCAGAGATGTATAGCAAATAGTGATAAGAAATAAGTGTTGCCAGGAGATGACTAGGGTTATTCTGAAGATATTCTCTGGTAAAATAAAATAATTTAATCTAAGTAAAAAATATTGTAACAAGAATT